AGAGAGAGAGAGAGAGAGAGAGAGAGAGAGAGAGAGAGAGAGAGAGAGAGAGAGAGAGAGAGAGAGAGCGATCTTTCTCATGGGAGCGTCGCGATGTTGGAGGCGCAGACTCGCGATAACCAGAGCCAGTAGTCCACGCCCGCCGCTTCGCCCCCGGCGGGGGCGTCGAGTCTGCGGAGGAGCAGAGGAAGGCAGGTGCGAGGGGAGAAAAGCAGGGGGTAAAGCCTCGCTCCAGGAGTGAAGAAGAAGGGGTGACGTGGGGTTGGGTGCTGCACACCCCCGCGTCGTGACGTCACGGGGGTTGAATCAATATCACACCATCGGGAGGACGGCAGACAGTTGGCCGCCTCAGTACGAGGTGGCCTCCGCGACTGTACGGGACGTACGTACCGGTAGTCGTCGTTCCGACGACGACGGCAACGACCACGACTGCAACCACGGTCGTAATTACGGCCACGATCGCGAAGGGGACGACGTCGCTCGCCCCCTCCGGGACCGGTAACTGCACTTTATGACTGTATTCGTCTGAGTCGTTGGTAAAGTGGTTCCCCCCGTACGATGAAATAGTCGCGGCCGCTTCGGGTCTGACCGGGATCGGAAGACGCGCGTGAGGACCAGCTCATTACAAGTCTTTTGTAAGTACCCGTCTGTTGCGCTATCCCTTTGCCGATTTTGAGAGAATTCCGTTGCTCTAGATAGAAGCCCTCCTAGAAGTCGTTGCGTGACTTACATTGCATTCACCCTTTGCCATATCCATATAATCGCTACTAAAAATAGTTATTAAAAAATCACTTGGCTAGAACGTGTAATTGATATAAGCGTCAAGAGATGCAAGCGTATAAATTGCGATAATTCGTGGATATGAGGTCTCGTGGTGCTTCCGTATGATGCGATATTCCGTAGATGCGATAACACTTGCAGAGATTATACTTGTCACCTCACGCTTGTGACAGTCTCGATCTCAAACCCCACTCCTCTTGCAACAATCAACTTTTGCAATAATCTCTCAGTCTCTCATTCTTTCTTCCACACTGACTAAAGTTATAAGCGACTTTTCGAATAGTTTTGAGCATTGAGCATTACTTGACTATGACCATTGTTTATCCGATTATTTCTCTTTGTTTGTACAATTGGACTTATTAACTGGTTACAATTAGTGTCGAAATACATAGAAACGCGATGTATACGCAAACGTATCGACGCGAGAATAGAAAGTAATTTTGAGAAATAAATATCGCAAAGATAGGACTTGAAATTGACTCGAAAATCGCCTGAGAGTAAACGAGAGAGACTGATGAAAAGTGCGGGCAAAACACCGCGAGGATATACAAATGAGATATAATCTCTCGGCAGCTGTCTAACAGCTGATAATTCTTATTGTCACATTTGCGTGTGTAGTTTTAAAGGAAAATCAAGTCTAAGAATACAAGTTAAACTTCTCTATGGGAACATTGTTAACGGTCTCTTTGGTCGACTTAAGTCGATTGCAAAGTATATAGCCGGATGAGTTGCTTCGGCCATCCCCTTTTCTTCTCCGTCAATTCTTGCGTTCAGTATCTCGGCAGGACATAGTTCGCTCTTTCAGGTGAAGGACCGTGGTTCTGGTAGCGTGGGGCAGGAGGACAAGCAGGAGTGGAAAGGAAAAAGCGAGTAAGGCAGAAGCGGACTCGGTGAGTTGGTTGAAAATCGATGGCCATCAGCGCCCATGGGCGGCCTCGCGTTTAGAACAAGGAATAGCCCCTCCCAGAAGACCTCGCTCCGGTGGGGTGACTGCTGCCCCCCGAGTCCCAAGCCAGCGTCGTTGTCAGCCTGGAAGAGCCGTCATCAAGACATGCCGCCGGTGCCCGTGTGAGGCTGCCCCCCGCTGTTGCGTGATTGTACCTCGCGGGGATCTCAGAGGTATCCTCCCCCTCCCCCCTGTTTGTCCCTTGTCCTCGGGCTCCCTCGTCGAGCGACTCGCCTCCCCCCGTGATTCCGACTTCGACATTTTTCGCAACGACATTTCCGCACAATGTAGCGTGGCTTGCTTGCTTTCTTTTCCAGTCTTACTCAAATAAGGAAGGGGACGCGTGTCCGTGCGCTCTGCGAAGGGAGCTCTCTGCGCCTTGTAGCTTTCACATATCTCACACATCCCCTGCTTGCAGTTTAACACTGCAAGTATACACCATACACATTAGCCCGAGCGTACGCTCGAGGTATGCACATCGTTCGCACAAAGAGACCGATATAAGCCAAGATGTTCGATCGTTTCCTCGTTCGAGAGAACAAACGGGGTTACAATTCGTTTCGTATTGGTGCGTAAGTGCGCTACTTAGATGTACATACTTAATCACGATTACATCTTTTTTTGAAGTCACCGCTTGAAGTGCGCGGCTTTTGCGCCTCGGATAGGCTACGCCTAATAGGATTAGAGGGTGAGCTCGGTGAAGCGACTTACATGCCCCTCGGGTAGAAACATAATATTTGCGCTTAGCTGCACTTGTTGGGCGTGAACCTAACGGGCACGATGTCGATGACGCGAACGATATACTTGATAAACTTTACAGAAAATTGATAAGTTCTTCGTAAAATCTACTACGACAAAATTGTTTGCATTGAAACGAAAAAACGAGAGAACGCGCATATCTTTTCTTCTGGTGCGCTTTAAGTTGAGCGCTTTGAATTGTATGACGCACCTTGAGAGAGAGAGAGAGAGAGATAGAGAGAGAGAGAGAGAGAGAGAGAGAGAGAG